TCTCTCTCTCTCTCTCTCTCTCTCTCTCTCTCTCTGATAATCAAATGGCGCACGTGACCTCTAAAAACACAAGGTGTTCAAGTGTGAACATGAGGTGAAGGGCTACAGCCCACAGGTGAAGCATACGCTGAGTGACAAGTGTATTGATAACACAATGACACGTTCTGGATATGTTCAAAAGCGTAGATCATCAAGTGCTGCAATCTATAAGTACCTTTGTTAATTAAGCTTTCAACAAAATCACGATCGCGAACTGTTTATTACAGGCAACTAATATTGTCTGTCAGCTATTTAGAAGTACTATGTCCCAATTACAGTCTCTTCAATTTTGTGGGATCGATTGCATGTGCTAAAGAAATGTGTTGTCGAAACTCAAAAAATAAATGTTGAAAAGAAACTTCCCCTCCTCCTGACAACAAAAAATAATGATAAAGAAAGAGATGCAATAATGTTTATGCATTTGTTAAAAGCACGAATAAATAGTTGTTTTAGAACTCTGTGGACTTAAAAATATAATAGATAATAGATGGCATTAGTATAGCGCAAATCCTTGTTTAACAGCAAGCTATATGTGCTTCACCATCTATACTATTTGCCCCGCTCGACCTGAGAGCATTCTGACACAACCTCAACTTCCTGGGAAGCATACAGTGCAAGTGGCCATTTATATGCGTTAAAACATTAACATACTGAAAATATCTTTTGCCGTCTATGGCCGGGTACCTATTCCTACCTAGAGGTGGACAAAATCTGGATAATCTATCCGGGTAACCGGATAATTATAAATGACACATTGTCCGAATGCAGACTCTTAACCCCCTTTCCTGACCTGCTTGCCGAAGTGGATGCATCCATTTGTTGAAGTGATGCTAACCCGTTTGTCAAAGTGGTCCTAACCCATTTGCCGAAGCGGTTCATATCATCGTATTATTTGCAGTTGAGGTGCACTAACATATTATTCGGATTTTGCTAAAGCGACTTATTGCCCAGCTCTATTCCCACCTGGGTGAAGAAAGGAAAATTCGTGTAATGTGCCTTGCCCAAGGACACAATGTCGGGCTCGCGGCTCGAAACCCGAACCCGTAACCTCACGATTACCAGTCCAGTAGCCTAACCACTAAGCCACCGACGTCACTCAGTCTGATCGATTGAACATTTTACCGACAAAATGGTATAATGATCAGACAAACTAAGCTATTTGTGAAAGTCATAAGAATATGTGGAAAGAAGGATAGTGATGGCGGAGCTAGCTGTCTAACGCATATTGAAAGTACACACGGTGTCAGAAGTATTTCATCTCCTCTCAGATATCAATTTGCCACTTTTTCAGAAACATTTTCGTTGAGATCTTTAATGATGTAGCGGGCACATGTTCCAACAGCAGCAGACCAAATGACAATGGCACGTTCTTAATCATCTTGATATAAGTATTCATGTGACCACACGTCATCAGAATACCTTTGAGTTACAATCAGAATACTGAGTATACACCAAGCTTAACATTATTATCGTTTATATTAATGTTCATCTATATTGTGCATGTGACTGTAAGCCTGCGAGTCTGTGCATGTTTGTGTGTGTGTGTGTGTGTGTGTGTGTGTGTGTGTGTGTGTGTGTGTGTGTGCGTGAGTGTGTCTGTGTGTGTGTGTGTACGTGGTGAAACACCAAACCAATGTGCCAGGATCTGGACAATAAAGACGTATCTTATACTATCTGATCTTATGAAAGGTCACGTTCCAGTACAATTTAAACAACCACACACAAACCACACACAAACCACACACAAACCACACACAAACCACACACAAACCACACACAAATAGTTGCGTATAAAAAAGCCTACATTTTCGTTGCCCTCCTTTTTAATTTGAGATAAAGAAAAATGATTTTAAAATCTGTATCAATAACGAAGTTGTGCTTCCTTTTTTTCAAAGAGCCACAAACACAGGTGATACGTTTCCAATCGTCGACGAATGTGCATTTTTGAATGAGTTAAAAAGTTAACAGCGGTTTTGTTGATCGGTCATACGTGCACACTCAGTGCATTAATAAACAACGATGTTGTTGTTCGGTCGAATGTGCAACCTGAGTGAGTTAACAATTATTTATTATACATCGATGTTTTTGTTCAGTCGCATGTTGACATTCACCGAGTTAACAATACACATTTACACACACAAACACAAACAGACAGACAGACAGACAGACAGACAGACAGACAGACAGACAGACACACACAGACACATACGTACACACACGCTCATATACACACACACACACACACACACACACAAACACACACAAACACACACATACACACACGCACACACACACACACACACACTGAGAGAGAGAGACAGA